CAACTTGACTTAAGGAGGACTAGAGGAAAACAAACAGAAAGAGCACTTTCTGTGCAGCATGACTGCCCTTGACAAATTAATAAAAATAAAACATGGCATTAGGAGTCATTTTCCAGAGATCATGATTCTCTGAGCTAAACCTCATTAGCTGTTCCTAAATGTTCTGGACTCAAGTGGTCCTTAAAGCTACAGTATGCAACTTTTTTCAATTTTTTTGTTGTAGGAATATATTTTAAAACATTTCTTAATGTGGAGAGGTACTGTCAAAGTCTCCTGTGACCCAGACCCATTGAACAGCGTTTGAGTGGGACTGAGCTCTTTAACCAGTCAAGAGATTTTCAGTTATTTCTGCTTGATCAGTAAGTTGTGTTGCATTTTCATTTACTGTAATTTCATAACGTCAACTATCTGAAGAGCTGGGCAGAGCGTGGTGGAGCATGGTGGAGCGTATCAGGTCGTAGTAGAGCATAGTGGAGCAGGGAGAGAGAGCGGTGGGCGGAGCAGGATGGACTGACTTTGAGTTTCGTGCTAGCGCTACCATAAGTTACATATTGTACCTTTAAGCTAAACAAGTAATACCATAATTCAAAAGTCCTTGTAATACAAAAAATTCAAAAGACCAACTTGAACTCTGATGAGTGGTTGTCCAGCAGTCCCAGCTTGTTCAGTTCTTCACTGATGACTTCCATTATGTGTTGAGGGACAGTCCTGTCTTTGAGTCTCTCTCTAAACTTCTCCTCAATAGCTTCTTTGTCCTCTTTTTCCAGACCCAGCTCCTGAAAACAGCCACAAATATGTTGTTTCATTGGGTCTAGTTTCACAGACTTGCTTCTTAGACCTTTTGGAGCATTTCTATTTCTATTAATATGAAACTGACAAAAGTACAGAAAATTTTCCTTTTGGAAATATCTATTACAGTCCCTCTGCTGTTCCTTGCTACTAGCCAAAAAAAGAAAAGTTGTACCTCGCTGTCATCTTTTAAAAAAAATGTAACTTTTTCCCTGTGGTGTTGAAAACGGTACAGAATATAGATATTTTTAAGGTATTGTATTGAGGTTAGAAATTCCAGTATTGTGGAAACATGACCTGAAAGGAAGAAACTTAAAACTGCAAAACCTGTGAGTAAAAATGTGTAGACGTGGACCAATGTGGCAAAGTCAGAGCTGCAGGCTTGGTTTGAGTGCACAGACTGGAGTTTTTGAGGTTGCATCTATAGAGCTAGATAAACTTGACTTGACTTAGTGGCACTGTGACATGGATCATCAGCTTTTCTGAGGATATGTGTGCCCACAAATACATTTAAAAACATTATTTTAATGCTCACCAGCTGAATGTGTTTTAGTCTCCAGTAACTTGGTGAGGTTTTGCTGGGAGTCTGACACAAGCTACAGCTGCAGTGATACTCTATTCACTTACTGCAGTGAGGTAGCTACACTCATCAGTACGTTTTATTCGATTTCCGACGTTTTCAAACAGCATCTGCCCTATATGTTATAGAGTGGCGAAGTGTTTTTTGTCAAACGACCTTTTCAGGGGGCACTTGTTCTTTCGCTGCCAATATTCACAAACTGCGCTGGCTGTAAATGTGTCATGTCCACGTGTCCTGTAGTGGAAGCTGCTATACACCTGTGCTGTGTTTATAGTAGACATGAAGCAGGGCACTCACCTCGGTGAGATACATTATTTTAACATCAGTTAAATGCTGTCAGCTAACTGTGAATTTCTCTCCAAACCGTGACAGTGTGGCGGTTTTATGTTCAGGAAGGGTTGGGTGGAGTGCGGAGCAGGGTGGAGCGAGCATGGAGAGCAAGGGCGGGGCAAAGCAAAGGCAGTTGATTCTAGAGTCCCATGCTAGCATGAGCTAGATTTTGGATTCATCTCTATTGTCGCTTTAAGAGGTGGAATGTTTGTGCGGACAGATACAGCGGCAGACAGATGACACAGTCGATTCTACCTTCTTAATGATCTTGAGTTGCTCTTGTAGCAGGTACTTTCTGTGAGTCTGCTTGATCTTCTCTTCCACCTGAGCAGAACAGAACAAATGAATGACTGGGGATGACAATCACAGTACTAGAAGGATAAAGCTCATACATGTTGGATGATGACCCCTGACCTCTCGGCCCAGCCGCTGCTGAAGTTTACTCAGCTCGTACTCCTTCTTCAGTAGAGACAGAGCCTTGTAGAGACGCTTTGGGATCTGCAAAGACATAGCAACGGGTGTCAAAGGCCTGTACATTGTACAGCAGTAATGAAGAACCTAAATATAAAATGTAAACATATATATTGAAAAGCTTAGGGAAGCAGTTGTGTACTAGTTTTCAGAAGTTGAAGTCTTTCCTCTTATAACAAAACATACCTTTTGAAAACACTTGCAATAAATCTCACCTTTCCAAATTAATGTACACCTTCCTTCAGTATTTTAAAAAGTCTTCTTGGGTCAGTCTCTGAAAGCTTTGCACAACTTTATTTTGGGCAGTTTATCCCCATTCTTTCTCACCGATCCTCTCAAGCTGTGTCAGATTGGATGGGAAGGGTCTGTGAACTGCCATCTTCAGATCTGTCCACAGATTTAGTAAGGGGTTTAACTCTGGGCTTTGGCTGGGCAACTCAAGGATAGTCAGAGACTTGTACTGAAGCCACTCCAGTGCTGTCAAGGCTGTCGCTCCAGTCTCAGGCTGTGTACTCTGGAGCACGTTTTCTTTAAACATCTCCATATTTGGCTGCATTCATCTTTGTCTTATTTCTAAACTCTCTCTCCCTCCCTGCTGCTGTGAACCACGCTCATAGCATAATGCTATAGGGGTAGGTCACAAAGAGACCACTGCGCTCCTAGGAACACAAAGCATAAGAAGTGGTTTTATATCTCCACCCTAAGCTATGCCTTTCCACAGTTTTATCAATGAGGTCTAACAGAGTTTAATGGACTTCAAGGTTAGGTTTTTTTTGTCCTGACATACAATGTGATAAAATGAAGTCCTTAAAATTTACTCTGGCTTGAAAATGAACAGGTCAAGAAACAGATTTCCATGATTTACTGTTAATGGAAATCTATAAGCCATCTTCAACCCACACAGACGGGGCGAAGTCATGAGCTGCCTTCATACGTTATTTTGTGGGCTAATTATTGTGCATGGATTTAAGAGTCAGATCGGAGATTCTCACGGACGGGAGTACACCTCCTACGTGCAACGCTGTCACTGGGTGAAAAGTTGGTATGGGGGAGTGTTGATGAGAGAGAAGCTGCTGAACTAAATGAGCTAAGGTAGGCTACTGTTCAATGTGAGCATGTGCACTGTACCTGCTCTGAGCTGCGTAGGGCTCACATTATTACCAGAAAATACAGTAGCCTATGTCGTAATAAGGAGAAAACTCACATTTTAAAGGTGAACAATTTCGTAAACATGAACTTGTTATAACCAGAATGGCTATAACTTTTTATTCGCATGCTAGCAGGCGGTGCTTCAACACAGGGAATAGGACAGTCCCAAAAAGAACCCATAAGCATGCAAAGTGGACTGCTTACGTTGATCTCCTCCAGGACATCCTGTAGTTCATGTGACTCTGCTCCTGTCAGAGCCGCTCCCATGTCGCTGAGGTAGATAGGATTATCAACCACTCTCTGACCAGCTTGCATCATCTGAAGGACAGACTCCCTTACAGCCCCCACAGAAGTGTACACACAAATAAGCACATTTCAGAACATTGGATGTGTACCGTAACCCCATACTCTATGAGTATAGACACAGCCCTCTAAGGCAATCACCGTTGGGCTTATCTCAAACTTTAGAGCAACACTAAAGAGACAATTTCCATGCTGTTTGACTTTGTGGGCCCCACTAACACAAGTAAAGTATAAATTATGAGGAGACCATTCAACTGGTGAATTTGTTGTTCTTCCTGCTTCAACGGGCCAGAGGAGAATGCACAGTTGGTGTTGGTGACAAGCAGAACAAGTGTCAGGACTGACCTGTAGAGAGGGTTCAGTGCAATGATGTCCCTGATTGTCTTCACTATCTCTGCCGTCAGTGCCTGTACAACACACACAAAGATTCTAGTTTTCCAGTGTTTCTTCTGTAGTAAGACCATTTGTATCATCACATTTGCCACAAAATCAAAACACAAATCAAATTCCAGTATGAAAATTGCCATCTTACCACCCTAATGTGCTACATATCAGAATGTGCGTTTTATACCTTGACCTCCTCTGTGACAGTGAACTGTTCATGTTGAACATTGTCCACTTCGACCATCAGGATGCTGGAGGAGGGAAGAGGTCCAACACCTGGACTCAGGTCTGCTTCTAAAATCTGACCAACAACAACAGAATAGTTATTCTCACTACTGACAATATGAAAATGACTGTAAACTACAAATACTACTCCAATCATCACTAATGAACTAATGATTATGGCATCATTGACTGTCGTTTTATTTAGTGACCTAATGATTTACTGTTGAAACATGAGCTAATGGTTTTGGGTGATGTGTATCCTTTTGCTGATTAGCTTCAGTGTTGTGTTGTATGTGACAAATGTATATTAAGCTTTGAGAACGACTGAGGTTTCATGAGTCACAGCTGTTGAGAAAATCCCTTTGTTTCTGAAGCACATTGGAAGAAGGCAGTCTGTTTCAGAGGCACATACACTTTTAGAATATCTCACAAATGATGCTCAACTTCCTGCATTTCAGCCACTTCAAGAAATCTGAGTGCAATGCATTCTAATGACTGTGCGGTGTTAGGAGCATGGGTCCTCTATGTGTGGCCCTGAATATGAGGCACTAACATTTCACTTAAAGAAATGATTCCCTCCTCATTAAAATGCTACTGTAAGAATGGGTCAGGATTAGGCCAAAGGGGCCCCGTTGAGTTCACAGTACTTTATTCTAAACTCATGTTTTATTATAAATGCACTGATATTAGTGGGTCACTCACTTAAGAACAGCGCATTTGTATGGACTTACTATTCTGAACCCGTTTAAAGCTGAGCTGTTAACTTGTTTACATAGAATAAACCTGAGAACAAAGCTGCTCCCAAACAGGCTTGAGATTATGGACATGTTGCCATGACAAGTCCTACACCAACCAACAGGTCTGGTACCAAATGAAATTGGTGGTGTGATTACCTGCTGCACTACACATGTAGTCTATTTGATAAAGTGACCATGGGGTTTCACCTATTTTGGCAAAACCTCTTGCTCTTCTTGCACAGGCATTATTGACCACAGATCTAGCATCAGATGTGTAGATCAAAGAAGTCCAGTACCAGCACATTTAAATAAGACATGACACAATATTAGTTCAAAATGACACACTGGTATTAAAACAGCTTCATTAATGTGTGGGGATCTAGAGAAGCAATGTCAGGCATATTGATTTATACATTAATGAGGATTTTGACATTAGACCTTTTGTGTAGACTGAGGTTAAGTTTGATCATAATGTTTAGGAATTGGATCTCTGTATAGGATTTCCCGGAATCCCTGAATCTTTTCACAGTATTATGTACCGCAGCGAAAGGTGTGCTGTCGGATAAAAGCTTTTGTATAAATGATGAGCCAATTCCAACAGTGTTAGAAAAGCCAGTCAAAAGTTTAGGTAAGTGGTGTGATGCAGCTCTTGGTGAGCAGATTCTGGGCTTGAGACAGCAGACAGTTGATGGAATTAAGAAACTAGAGGTGTCAGGCCTCTCAGGAAAACTCAAACGTCTGTCAGTCACAGTGTATGATGTCCCCATCTCTAAGGTAGAGAAGCCAGATAGAATGTTTAGCACGTACATTAGGAAGTGGCTGGAAGCTCCGCGCGGCCTCAGCAGTGTCGTTCTGTACCAAGAAGGGAATTTGGAGTTCCTTATAACCAGTTTAACAGAGCAGTTTAAATGCACTAAAGCTCGACTGGAGCTTAGAAAAGCCAGTCAAAAGTTTAGGTAAGTGGTGTGATGCAGCTCTTGGTGAGCAGATTCTGGGCTTGAGACAGCAGACAGTTGATGGAATTAAGAAACTAGAGGTGTCAGGCCTCTCAGGAAAACTCAAACGTCTGTCAGTCACAGTGTATGATGTCCCCATCTCTAAGGTAGAGAAGCCAGATAGAATGTTTAGCACGTACATTAGGAAGTGGCTGGAAGCTCCGCGCGGCCTCAGCAGTGTGGTTCTGTACCAAGAAGGGAATTTGGAGTGCCCTATAACCAGTTTAACTGATGAGTTTAAAAGCACTAAAGCTTGACTGGAGCTAACACTGTTAGAATCCAGGGATGTAGCGGTGCAGAGCGCAGCACCAACAGTCTCAACAGGCAGGAAGTGGAACCCAAGGAGGCAGCGTTACAGGCTCATTCAGCTCTTAAACACGGGGACATTGTAGGACAGGTACAGCATGGACGTGGTGATTCTAATTTAAGCACATCAAAAACTTCATGGAGCAAAGCAGCAGCAGCTGACAGAAGGAAGATGGTTAATGAGGAGATTAGGAGGCAGGAAGATGTGCAAAGGCAGCTTCCCAGGCAGGGACAGTGGGTGAGATGGGAAGACGTGGAAAGGAAGAAACTTATGTCGGACATGGAGGCAGGAAGGATTAGATTCATTCTAGGCACAATTTAGGATGTGCTTCCATCTCCCCAAAATCTGAATAGATGGTTAAGTGAGGACCCAACGTGTCCCTTGTGTTCAGGTGTAGCATCACTTCAGCTCATCCTCTCAGGGTGTAAAACAAGCCTGGCTCAAGGACGATACAGCTGGAGACATAACCAAGTGCTGAAATGTTTAGCAGCAGCTACTGAAAGGAGGCACTTAAAGGTAAACTCAGTGGAGGAGAAGAAGAAACAAGAGGGGATTTTGTTTGTTCATAAGGGTGAAAAAGGCAGGAAGCAAGTCATTTTGAACAGGCAGGATGCAGGCCAGCTAATGCAGGGAGACACTGGCAAATGAAAGTAGATTTAGGTTCAGCTCATAGTTCCTGAGGAGACAGTCAGCACTAACCTCAGACCAGACCTTGTGTTGTGATCAGAAGCACAGCAGACTGTGTATTTTGTCGAGCTTACAGTTTCTGCGAGGATGCTGTAGATACAGCTTATGAGAGGAAGAAACTGAAATTCACAGAATTAGCCATGGAGGCAGAGGAGTGTGGCTGTTAAGGTCTGCCCCGTAGAGGTTGGTTGGAGGGGATTAGTAGACAGGACAGCTGTCTGTCCAGTTAGGTATAAAAGGGCAGAGCCTAAGACAGGTAATTAGGAATCTAGCTGATAGCACAGCAAGTTCCAGTGGGTGGCTCTGGAGCAGAAGAAAGATGTGTGAATGGGGCAAAAATAGGTAGGTGATTTATAAATGGCAACGTCAGGACTTTGCCTGTTAAGCTGAAGTGAACTAGCATAAGAGGACAGGCTTAGTAAAAGTGTTTGATACATGCATCAGGCTTGAGGCCTACTTCCTGGTTTTAGTATGGGCAAGCTAATATGAGTACACAGTAGAAGTTTGATTGGTTTGTTGGAATGAATACTAACACAGGGTATTATTGACTTTAGATGGTGAAAGACCTAAATTGTTTACAGTCTCGCACTGAGAATTTGTTTTTGAACTGACTGACAATTCTCTCAGGAGGTTTGGCACAAAGTGGTGAACCATGGCCCATCCTTGATTGCAAAGACTGAGGCTTTGGTGGATGCTCCAGTCATGATACCTTCACCTGTTACCAGTTAACCTGCTAATGTTGGAATCTTTCAGAACAGTGTTACTGGATTATGTATGTATAAACTTTTCAGTCTAATTTAACATCTGTCCCAACTTTGTTTTGCGGGCATCAAATTATAAATTTGTTTATATTTACAAAATGTAATTAGGTTGGTCAACTAAAACTGGCTGACATTAGTGAACCTGGTGCTTTTGATGCTGACTCAACGTGCTGACTTACAACCAGCTGAAATAGGATCTGGATCAAAAATACAACCCTGAAAATATAAATTCATGGCCACATAGCTCAAACTTGGGTTTTTCAACCACAGTGGACGAAGGTCCAAAAGACAGTCAAGGTGCTTGGCTGATGTCCTTAATACTTGAGTTACTGACTGTGACTGGTGTACTGATGTGAGGGTCACGTTACAGACCTTGTCCTCCAGCTGCTCTGTCAGAGGCCCTGGTTGGTCCTTGCGGGTGCGTTTAGCTTTGCGTCTCACTAGAGGCTTCGACTGCGATTCTGACTCTGCCTCTGACCACGCAGTAGAAGAAATGACGTCCTCAGGCTCCACCTCCAGCTGCCTTGTGATCCGGATCCTGACAGACGAGAGTTTACTGTACATATAGCGGAGCTCTACACAAGATACAAGCAACAATGTCCTGTGGAAATCAGAGTCAACTAGGGCTGCAGCAGTATACCACGGTATGAAAACTGATAGTTATCATGAAGTGTACAGTCTTATTACTGGTATTGAAGGAAAAAACACAACGCTGGTGCGCCTTTCTTCCCGACTGCCTGTCAGACTCCACAACGGGCGTCACATGCAGCGGACAAATGGCAGAGGAGACTGATATCACAAATTTCATCCACCAAAAGAGAAATTTAAATCTGCAGCGCAGGATTACTTTGAATACCTCAAAAATGAACACCATCCCTCCCTAAGGGCCAAAGGATGTGTCCTGTTTATTATTATAATCCCAAACAATAAAACATGAGCATATAAACACTGGTCATAAAATGCGCTGATCCTGATCTGACCCCAGAAACACACACCAACTTTCCTGGCTCACGTAAGTTAGTGTGTGTATGTGTGAGTGAAGGCAGCGACAGGATCAGCCTGGCTGCATGGTCACATACCTTTAACTAGTCTGATAACTGTTTAGAGCAGTGTGACAGAATGTCTCACTATCTTCAGAATTTTTACAAACCAGTCAGTTGATAATTGGAGAGAATAATCAGCAGGTTAATCCCCAATGAAAATAGTCAATACTTGGATACAAACTAGCTCAGCAGAGCTCCACCTCAACCAACAACAACAGTCCAATTCTGTTTTTGCATTAATGTATGAGTGATAGGCTGATAATGTAATGACAGAATATATAATAATATAACAGTATAGTACAAATAGTATAATATTTTTTGCACCGAATAGTCTATTATTATTTTTACTACTTTAAGTACATGTTTGTGATAATACTTTTACTTAACATTTTCAATGCAGAACTTTGACTAAAGTCAATGATGTGACTACTTCTACTATTGGTGCTAACATGCAAACCAACATGCTTTAATTATATAACATGTTACAGTTATGTACCTTTTTTAAAATCATGTTTGTTTTTATTTTTTAGGGTCAATCTAGTGCTGCAATCACCTGGCACCATCACCTGAAGTAAAGAAAACCCTCTTTTCTTTAAATTACTTTGAGGGTCACTGTAGCTGATAATACCAGTAATTCCGTACTGTTGTACACCAACAGAGTGAAACAGTGATATTTTCTGAGATGGTTATTATACCACTGCAAACCTAGAGCCAACAGATTCCCATTCCAGCCTATCACTGTGCTTTCCTTGCTCACCAGCAGCAGTGTTTCTAACCTGCGGTGCCCCATGACAATCATCCTCAGCTTGTCTCCCAGGTCCTGCATCTCATGAATCTGAACAAAAGTTCCAGTAGAATAGATGGCATCTAGAGACTCCACCACATCTGACTCATTACTGCAACAGACACAGGACAGAAAGCAGCATGTCAAGTTCCAAGCATATTTCAGTGATCACTGCAAACAGTCACTGATTAGTACTGACAACCGCCAAAGGCATAACAATGGTATGCATATATTTTAAACTCATCTGCAGATCAAATAACACCAAGTTTGTATATCTTACGTTGCACAGACCAACATTTAGTGAAAAGTAAATAAAATAAAAATTAAAAAATAGGACCTCTTATAAACCCATTAATCTCAGTGACAAATACATTGCATTTCCTGATTGCACTGATACAAGCTTTTAGTGTGAAGAAGCAGCAAAAGGAAATGTTCAGTTAGCAATATGTTAAAGGTGACCCGATATCCCATGTTAATGAAGTTTTACATATCAGGCAAAAGCCAGCGTATGAGTGAAGAGCATGAAAGCGCATGAAACAGGAGCACAGCTCTCTCTCTCTCTCTCTCTCAGCCCTCTATTGATCTGACCAGTCATGACTCTAGAAGAGGAGGGAGTTATCAGACTAACTTATCATCTCTCTTCAGGAAGACTCCAGCATATGGCTGAGCCAGACGAACCTTCCTCCTCAACAGCTCCATCAGTGCTTTGTTCTTTACCTGGCAGGATGACAGACAGACACATCACCATCACACATACCCAGAACTTGAAGACACACACACAGTTTAGGTCAGTGCCTGAAATATCAAACTGCTTTGTATTTATTCCCTGTGAGGGTTTTCTAAAGGGTCCATGTGTCTTGATTAAACAAAGTGCAAAACTGAGTTACAGTTAACCAATCCCCTACTGGTGCAGAGATTGGAGGCTTTTTAAATGGTCAAAATAAAAATAGTCAAAAGATGAAGGTCTTCCTAATACACACCCACATTTCATTTGTTGTCTGCAATATATTTTGCTACAGACTTATTTCTGGAAGACAGATATACATTTAAGCTCTCTCTGCCTGGGTTGAGATCACCCTGATGGCATCCCTGTGATACCTCAAACTTGACCAATGAGGACATGAAGTTTTCATTTTCAAGTACAAAACCAGTAAAATGTCCCTCTGCCTTTAAAACAGCTGTTCTTTTGAAAATGTTCCAGACTCTTTTATCATCGTGTAGCAGTTTGCAGCCAAAGTTTTCCTGGCTGCAGCTTCAACATACTACTGAACACAAAATCTCTACAGCAGAGCTATATGGCGAAAAAAATCCCATAAACACGATTTTCTTTCTCAGCAAGTCTAGGCAGGCTTACTTTTGAAGTACAGTATAATCAACTAAACCCATGTGGGAGATATCAGTATCTGCACAGGAGAGTTTTAACTCCAAGGAGCACTAAACTGTTGCTGTGAGATGGCATCATCCACGATGGAAACACCAGACTGGAGACGTTATAACGTCCTCACCTCTATGATTTTGATGAACCGGGGGAAGACTGGGTTCCTGCTCACAGCGATCAGCGGCACATTGGGAAACACCTCCGGGACCATCATAGGGGTGAGAGCCGTCATCTGAGGTCCAGTGTACGGGACTCCCCCCTCTCCCCCTGACTCCTCACCCCCAGAGCCTGCATTGTCCTCGCCGTCCTCCCCAGAAAAACCTGCGCCGCTCGCACGGTTCCCATACGTCCTGTCCGGAATCACGTAAAGTTGAGAGCCAGGTGTAAGACGAGCGGTTTGGCCATGGAGAACGCCTCCGACACGCATCCACCGGTGAGGTCTTACGGTCACTCTGCATCCTGCGGCCACTGCTGTGCCGAGGGCAGTGTTAACGAAGCACTTGGTGCATTTTGTCTGTGAGGTGCTGATGTAGAACCGTGAATGCTGGAGCTGGGTCAGTCCTGATATACCGCTCAACCGGGGACCATTGCTCCCGGGCCAGTTTAATTTAACGAGAGCCAAATTTCTGTGCACCTGTCTAACGGCACCGAGCATGTTCATACAAGTAGCCATGTTGATCTGGAGCTTTCTACAGCACGCGACAACCTTCTTCCGTCGATGTTTGATGACGTGGTGTCACGTGCTCGTTTGTTTATACCTTATTGAACAGTTACAACGCACAATAATCAGAAAAAGGAACAATTGTACAACAGGATTATATAATTTGGCAAAAGGGAATCCATACATGTAGCCACAAAGAAGGGGAAAAACAAGAAAAGTGGTGAATAAGTTGGAGGAAAGGATTTATGCAATAAGTTGCATCTGTGAAATAAATTTAAAATTCGTATAGCCCTTTTTAGATGGAGAGATTATTTCACTATAATGTTTTGAATACTTTTCAGGAAGACACAAAACGTGGGTCTGTTACCATTACATTTAAATGTATGTTTATAGTATTTATCTAGAAGCAGAGTGTGGTTGTTAGGTGCTCCTTTAGGCCAGAGCCTTTTTTTGCAAGAAATAATACATTTAACTGTGAAATGTAATATTCAGCAACAGTTTATAAAATTGTATAATTTGAATATATTTATTGTCTTTAAAAAGCCCATGGTGCTTTTCCTTGTTTTCTGACTTATCTACAATGTTACAACGGTGAATTCTCATCTTAAACGTGACCTAAAGCTCAAAAATGAGGTGAACATACAGTATGTTGTAGTATTTCTCTGTAGAAGCAACTCAGTTTATTCATATCTCGCAAATTCTTGCTCACAAGATATTTTTAGTAACAAAATTAAGTATTGTGTGATAGTTTAAGAATTTCCTTGAATGGCCATAATATTCAGGCCGTTGCGCGTTTGTGTGAGCTTGCCTGACCATCTATCGGTGCCCCCACCATATTGGCAAAATGCCTTGTTTGTTATGTATGTTTTCAATAAAGCATATTTAAAAAAAAAAGACATCCATGGTGCCATTGTAAAGGCAGAACTTCTTTTGACTGTGACAGGTTTTCTGGATATATAGTTTCCCTCTTTCTGTTGCACTGTGAGCAGAGGATGTGGAGAAAAATACAGGCCTGAGGTTACTGCATGTCCGGGAATGTTCCTGTATAGGGACCCGCTGTTTTACCTGACTGGGTCTAACCAACAAGCAGCCTGGCAGTGAAGTGCCCACAGTGGTGAACGATCAGCTCCTCAGTGCTGGATTCCCCCGGAGCACAGTACCTGTTTGTTTTTACTGCTTTAGGCCAGTGTGTCCGCTGCATGTGATGTGTTGCTGGTTAACCAGCGGATTAATGATCCATAATGTTATTGTCAGTGCATCTTATCAACAGATTTACAGAGAGAAAAATTAACATTTAAATCAAGTGCAGCATATGTCAGCCTGGAGATACCCTCAGCTTTGGTTAACAGGGTTCTACCTCATAAGGTCAAGTCTCTTTGGAGCAACAGTGTTTTGTCCATAACGGGCTTAAAGTTCAAATTGCATCTTTCATCTTCTGTTTTAGCTCACAATACCCATATACGTTACTTGTGATTTCACAGGAATATTATATAATTCTGTATGTTCGCAGTGTGCAATAGGTAGAAGTTCACATTTATGTTGCAGAAAACAGCAATCACTTTAATTGCAAGAGGAATTTGGCCTATGTCTCTTAAAAAAGTTTTGTGTCATCAGCCACCCTAACCCAACTGAAATGCCTTTGATATTACTTTCAAGGACGAGCAGACATTCATACTAGTGTGAATGTATGTTCAACTTGTTCCAAATTGTAATGTTATAGAAAATGTTGACTTTGAACGCACTGTAATTTTATGTGTTTTGAGTAAGGCTGTTGTTTGGGTAGACGGTACTGACATGTAATACAATGTGTTGCAGGACGTATACATATTGATCAAGTTTACAGTTCAGTGCACGGTCCGACCAAGGCTAGAGCTAATATGAACACCAGCCAATGGCAGACTTTGTTGCCGACCATACTGTATATTTGCACAAGTGTTTCGAAGCATATGTGTTGCTTCAGTCTGGACATACTTCCATTTTGTGCCTGGAACAGAAGCATGTGCATTCTGTTAGGTTTCTGTACCCATCTGATCAAGTTTTCACTTTAATGCATCTCCTGTCTCCAAGTAGACATTAACTGTGACAACATTCTGCCACCCAGGGGAGAAAAAGCATCAGATTGTAGATGTGCAAATAAAAATCTACCACATTGTTGCTAAATCTGCTAAATAAAGCTGCCTCCATCCTCAAAGATCCCACCCACCCCCAGCACGGACTGTTCGCCTTCCTACCCTCTGGCCAGAGGTTCAGAAGGGTGAAATGTAGGACCACTAGACTAAAAAACTCTTTCTTTCCCTCTGCCATCAGACTCCTAAACAGCTGAGGAGTTTATTACCAGGAAATACGTGATGTACTGTTTACATTCTCAGTTTGCACATGCATAATTGCACAATGACTGTTGCACATGCTGCTCCCATGTAGTATACATTCTCTTATTATATCCTTATATATTTTTTATTATATTGCTGCATTTGCTGCTTCAAGTGCCTTAGATTTTGTGTTACTTATTTATCAACTTTATATTTCATTTGTATTTTGTGGCATTCATGTGGACGGCGAAGTAAGGATTTCATTGTACAGGGAAACACGTTTCCTAACTGTGCATATGACAAATAAACATTTTGAACTTGAAATAAAGGGATAAAAATGCTTAATGTGAAATCGAGAACAAATGTTTAAATGTTAAAAATAATTTCTGCTTCACAAGTTGTACCCTCATGGCTGTAAAGCACTCTGAGGAGCAGTCAGGAAGGCAGCTATTTGTTCACATTTTCTGATGTTAGCTGCATTGGTTTCCTTTCTCCAAGGTCAGCAGTCAGACCACAGCATCACTCTATCAGATTTTTTTTTTCGGTGCAATAAAAACTTTTTACATTTAAATATATAAAAAAACCAAATAATTAATGATTTTAGATGGAATAGAGATGTAGCTAGAGTGCATTATGTACAGTGAGGAACAGAAGTATTTGAACACCCTGCGATTTTGCAAGTTCTCCTACTTAGAAATCATGGAGGGGTCTGAAATTCACATTGTAGGTGCATTCCCACTCTGAGAGACAGAATTAAAAAAAAAA